ATCGTTTGATCAAAAGATTCACTAAGGCCGTATATAAATTATATTTAAAAAATGCATGTGAATCGATAGAGTTGACATAGTTGGGGAATTCTATTTATGATACGAGGATTTGGCTGTATCTCTCCACTTCTTTGTTGACTTGAACTGTTTAATCCAAATGACTAGCTGTTATTTCTTTAAAATATCCCCAAAATAAAACATAAAGATAAATACACAAAAAAAAGTAACTACACTGAACAAGATAACATAACCCACGCATAATAAGAGGTTCACTTAAAATATCTGATCAACTTTTTGATTGTTTAATATTCCAATATAACAAATTATGTTTAGTCTTGCTTCACGCTTCCATATACTCTCCTCTAGTCAACTTTTATTACGTATTATCATTCGTCTCATCAGTTAAGAGTTGGGATGTGACATTTAAGAGTTTACGACCATGAAATGTTTTTGATGTGGTTTTTGTGCAACTAATAACGGATCCGAGAGCAGTACTGTCGCAAAGTTTGACAAATATCTCGTCAAACGTAACGGAGTGTCGTGGTGAACAACAACACTTGGTCCGCAACTTTTGCCAATATCATTTGAGTACGAAAAATATTAGCTCACTACAATAAAATGAATGGATGAACACAGCATTTACTTTTGTATCATAGATATATTAAAGATCGATTGACCAACGAGATAAAACACTACCTTAATTAAGAAGATAATCTGCATGAATAAGAGTACAAATATAAGACATATATTATGAACCGTGATCAACAACTAAAACTATATTATAAAAAAGCCAAAACAACTACTATTTTATATAATTGAAGCCATTGAACAATGAATTTGTATATCCGTGTATGCATGCATAAACTATGCATATGTTTTAAATTCTCCCGAATCATCACGAAGATTATAAAGTAATTGTTTAAAGATTGGATTATCTTGTAAGCAAAAAAAACACACAGCCGTTGACTTAAGAGAGACTGAGATCCAATACATTATTTAACATTGCTTGTGGAATTATGTGTTCACATGGTTTAGTCCTAGTAAGTATAATCTTAAATCAGTGGTTTGAACTAATCATTAAAATCCGTTTAAAATCATGAATGGTCTAATTAATGGCATAATTCACATATTGATTTCGATATATTGTGCCTACAAAAACTCTCAATAACTCACTTTAATCATTTTAGGGAGAGAGTACAATGGTTTAATATTTTTATGTTAATCTTCTCACACTCGAATTACTAGACTTTAACTAACAAACACAGTTAACTCTAAAACAAAGCTTTATATACTCTCTAGTCTCTTCTAATTATATTGTAATACAGGAGGAGTCCTATATGAACTAAAAAACGAAGACTTCAACGTTGATATTGAAAGGTTGGTGCAAGGTCCAAACTGTATAATACAATAGTACGAAAACTGTTGTCATCAGATCTTACTGAAATTATAAGTAAAAAGATATATATACTTAATGCGATATAATTATAATCACTTGATAGATCCACTAATCAATGATGAGTAAATTATATAGAAATTTGGATCACTCATATTTGATTATTTCACGGGAATCATAGAAGTTGACCTTTTGATTCCATTCTATCTAATCCAATTAAGAAATTTATATGCTTCAATTCAAAGCATTTTTTTTTTGTTCTTCCTGAAATTTTAATTTTATTTAAACAAAAAAAAAGTTTATGTACAAAGACGGTAATTTAATTAAGGGGGAGCCGGGGGGAGCCGGGGGGGGGGATTTGAAAGATAGAGGAAACATTTTTTTAAGATTTACTGCCAAGTTAATTTTTGTTTGTTTTAACTCTAGTTGTTAAAAACAAAACTTGTAAATGGGTTGAATATAAAACCGTTTATGATATGTTGTTGATCTTCACATGTGATTCGGTTTGGTGTGCTTAAAAATTGTATAAGAAATTAAGCAGGTGAGTTATTCCACTAATATAGTAATTTGGGTTTAAATTGAAAACTTAACAGCTGTTTATAAAGATTAGTAAACTGAAAAGGAAAGCTAGCTAAAACGTATATACACACTTGAGAGCTCTTTGTGAAGAGTTAAATGATCTAGGAAGAAAGGTTCATTAAAAGGTAATCTACCTATCACTGTCGACGACAACAACTTTGTTTTCCATTATCTTGAACTTTTGTTACAACTTTTTATAAAGTTTTATAACTAATCTCACAACAGACCAAACCTGTAGCAAGAGTTGGATTAATCAGAGAATCTGTTCTGATGTGAGTTAAAATTCAATATAGTTAAGAAAAATGCATTAAAACTATATATAGATATGAATTTTGTTAATGAGATTTGGTTTTACTACTCCTGATGAAGATCACATGAATATAACACTAGCTATGATAACGCTTGAACTTCATAACTCCATATTCTTTCAGACTTCCTCATCCATTTATTTCGACACATATACTCGACATGAGCTGCATTATTTATAGTTACGACCACGTACTGATCATAGTTCAGGCTTGTACATGTACAATAACCAACGGCGTTGAGTACTGCTTGATATGATTCATCCTTTTATGCCTGGTCTTCACTAGTATGTTGTTTCTTACTTTGTCTGTCTCCTTCATCGGATGGTTGTCGTCTTTCTTGCTTTCTTCCAACCTCCGTTGGCAGCAAGAGATCTAAGTTACTATCTTGGGACAGTACTACTTGATCAGATTCGCATTTCACTTCCTGGTCAAACAAAAAAGAAAAACACTAATTGTTATTTTTTAGTGTGGAAAAATAATAATCCCTTTTAACATATTGGATGCATGATATACATATCTTGAGATGTTGTAATCATACCGGAATTTTTCCAACAATCATATGAGCCTTGTAGAAAACATCTTTAACTTGGTTTTTATCACCCCAAGCCTCCTCAAACTTGGTTATTAAATCTTCATTTATAAGCTCTACTCCTTTCTCCTTGGCCTTCATCGAAGGCTGCCACGATCTCAAGAAACGGATAAACCCTTTAAGCGAGAGTTTATGCGGAATGTCTAGAGTAATAGGCTTTCCTTCGGAACCCATCCCTATGCTCTCAAAAGGAAATGGCAACGTTTTATAACCGTCAAATGCCAAATTCATAATAGGAGTTCTAAAAGGTAGAGTAGAGTCCACAAGGCGCTTCATAATGGGATCGACCTCAGGCGAGATAATGATGTCATTGTATACCCAAACGGCGATCAGGCCTCCTTCTTTGCGGAGAACACGTTTTGCTACATTGTAGAATGTGGTGAGGTCGAAAAAATGGACAGCTTGTGCAGCAACTATGAGATCCACAGAGTTCTCTCCCCCAACTAGAGCCACCATCTCATCTTCTGACATTGTTATTGGACTGTGATGGTAACTGATTCTTGAGTGTTTGATTGCTCGTTTAATTTGTGCTTCGTTTATATCGGTAGCCACAACATTCTCGTAATGCTCCACAAGCTGCAAAATATGTAAATAGGTCTTAGTATTGTCATTTGTCAAGACTAATTCACCTACTATATTATATGATCTATGTAAAAATGTGATGAACAAGATCATATATTTGCCATTATAAAACTCAACACGAATAGGCGCCTGATTATGCTATATATCTATGATTTATCAACATTCATATATGGTTCAATAATATTTTGTGAAATATAGTGAGAACATAGCAACAACATATAATACCAGTCGAATCATCGTACCAAAACATATATGATAGATACAATATATCGTAATAAAATAACAACGATCAAAATATGCCACCACCAAATTTGACTTATCTTTAGAATAATAAGAGACATGAGTCAAGAAAAGAGCTACCTAGCCCTCCTAAGTAAAACTTGTTGCTGGATTTAGTAGCATAATCCCCGTATCACAAATCATACTAATTAACTAGTTTACGTTCTTGCGGAATTATAGATAGTCTATAATGTATACCCCAATAGCAGCCTGGCCGTTACCAGTTCCGACATCCCAGGCAAACTTGTGGCCCTGTGTCCGTGCGGCAATCTTCTTGTACCAATCCATCGGATACCTAGGCCTTGCGTCGAGATAAGCTTTAGCATCTTTCTCTGATAAGGCAGCCATTGTCCTCTTCTTCTTCTTTACTTGCTTTTAATACTGAACTTCGTTTTATCTATAACACTCTAGTCTGACGGAAAAAAGTAGTATATATACTATATCTCTCTAGTCTGGTGTACTCTTGTTTGTATTGATATATTATGGAAAAAAAGTGTTGAAGGAACTAGGAAGTCCAACTTGGCGAGAAGAAGACGTCTTTAAGGACTTCTCTCTGTCTTATATATATTTTTTTGGTTGAAGACAAAACAGCGTCAGTAGAATAAGTCACACGTGATGGGATGATAGAGATGAAAGAACAAGATTTCTGAATATCCATGATTTTGGACTTTGTTAATAATACCTTCTTCATAGTCCCTGATCAAAATTTCTTGGCTTTTTTTTTTTTCTTTTTTCAAAGAGTTACAATATCTAAGTAACCTCTAAATGATTTGTTGAGCAAAATAAAAACTTCTTAATAATTTGTTTGTAATATGTGTTAAATATATAAGAACAAACAAATCAAAGTTAAGAGTAGAAGTTATTAATGGACAAGTGTGGTTTTAGTGACAACGAATTACAAAAAAAAAAAAACTGAAAGAAAAAATTGTACATAACAGTGTAATCTGGGTTTTATCTGTATTAGCATACGGCCCAACTTATAATGGGCTCAGTTTTGTAGGGGCTTATGGTTAGTTTCACAGATATAATAAGTGAGGATTTAAATGAGAAAAAGAGAAGTCTCTGAAGTTTTGTTTTTCCCTCTTTCTTCTTCGCGAGAGCAGAGTATCATCGGCTCGTTGCTCTGTTCTTGTAAGTTGTAACTGTAACTCCGACGAGTTTTTCCGGGGTGGTGTGTGATTCCGAAGATATATATAAGCTAAGTTCCGGTTCATCTTGGATCGCATTTCTTGATCTCTTTTGAGCGAGTCCGACTACAATTCTTGAAATCATGAGTGAGATCGTGAGAGTTCAAGAGATCAATCACAAGTCTGCATACATAAAGATAATCCCCAAGAACTGCTTCAATCTTGTTACGATCATATCGAACGTTTCTACTTCTGATCTCTCGTTCGCATCTAATGGGAGCTTCAAAGACTTCGTTTCTGTATTATTGGCTCGACGTGACAGTTACCGTGCAAGGAGGTTCTCTTTGAAACTGCGGTCTTTGGATTTTGATTCAGATACGTACAATCTTGTCAGTGATTGTGTACGCAACGTGCTGAATCGAGGTGTTTTGTTTCTTGAATTGGACGTAAATGTCGAAGAAGGTTACGCACTGCCATCTGAAGTCTTCACTTGCAAGAAAGTTGTGAAATTGAGACTAGGGTCTGGTTTTGTTATTGAAAACATCCCTAAGGAGGCTTTGTTTCCATCTCTGAAGGATCTCCTTCTCGATAGAGTTATCTTCAATGATACTAATGGTGATTGTGCGTTTACAAAGCTTGTTTCTGCTTGCCCTGTGCTTGAGGAGTTAGTCATATACAGGAACAAAAATGACGACTGGAAATGGTCTCGCGTTGTGTCTAGCCAGATCCTTAAGAGACTCACTATTCGATGTGAAGAAAGTGGATATTATGAGGGCTGTAGTTATGAGCCTATTAGTTTTGACACTCCAAGTCTTGAATACTTTGAATACTGTGATGTTATACGAGATGAGTATCCTGTTGTTAATCTCAACTCACTTGTTAAAGCTAAGCTAGAGCTTCCTTTTTTTATGGGTGGTGATGACTATGATGCTAGCAATCTGATGAAGGGTATGAAAAATGTTCAGATTCTAAGCTTAGGCGCTGCTGAGACGATGCAGGTACGTAAGTCATCTCTATTGTTTTATTGTTTCTCTTTACTGCAGCTTAACAACTAGTATCTCTAAGAGGAACCATTGAGGTGCTAAAATTTTGCTAGTGGGGATGCGAACATTCTAATATTTTATTCTAATGCAAAAATATTAGAATGTTCGTTGAAATTATGACTGACTAAGTTGTGTTTAACATTTGAATGTCTAGCAAGTATCTAATGGTACTGCTCCTCTTTAATCTTGGTAGAAATTAGAATGATTGTTGAAGCTATGACTGATTTATTTGTGTTCAACTCTGTTTTAGGTAATTTGGACCTTCAGAGAAGCAGTACCAGTGTTTGAAAACCTGTATGATTTATCACTCAGTACTGAAGAAGATTTCTGTTGGGATGCTCTGCCAATCCTGCTTGACAAGTCTCCCAATCTTAAGACTCTCACCATTGAGGTATGACTGCAGACCCCCAAGAGAGAAACAAACGAATCAAAAACTCACAAAATTTTTTTAATTTCAAAATTCTGAATGCAATGGGGATTTTGTTTTCTTCTTCCAGGCTTTGCATTATACTTCTGAATGCAATGGGGATGTGAACTCTGTTTGCAAATGCTTGAAGGGGTATTCTTTCTTGTTGTCCAGCCATATTGAGGTTCTAAAGATAACCCAATTCGAGGGAAATATCAGAGAGATGGTGCAGGTAATGCATGTCTTGGAGAAATTGCAGCGTCTTGAGCTGTTGGAACTTCATATTCAGGAAAACGAAGATGACTTAAAGCTACAGATCATGTTGGATCTCCTAATGCTTCCAAGAGCTTCGTCGAAATGCAAAGTCCTGGTCGATTTTCCTGAGCAAACTCCAGTTTGTTAGCTTGTGACATTTTCGTCATTACTGGCTGGTTGTTCTGTCGTTTCTAAAGCTACGTTTAGGTCTATTATTACTCAATACTCATTTTGTGTTGCTTTAACAATTTGGTGAATGGAATATGATATGGACTGATGTTGTCTTCTGCTCTTCTACTAATAACATTGTAGCTTAGATGATTTTATCAACGGGATACAAAACTAGTAAAATCTCTGTTTACAAAAGTTGAACCATCACCCAAAAGAAAGAAAAACAAAAAAGGTGGGTTTTATAACTTTTACTTCATTAAATATAATTCCAGTGCAAAAAAAAAAACGGATCCAGAACGTGACCCGGTTGACCACGTTCTCCTCTTTCTCCCCCAAATCTTAAAACCCTAAATTCTCAATTACCGTCGCTCTCGTCACACTCCGTTCACTCCACCAGCGACAATCTCCGTAGAAATCTCAGTGGAACTTTCTCCAATGGAGTTTTCCTTACAAGAAGACGATTTCGGAGGAGATTATCCCGCTGCCAATGCCACTAGGGCTTCAGGTCTCTACTTTAATGGATTCATTACAATTTATGGTTTCGTGGTTAGATTGGAGTGAAGTTTTTCTCTTATAGTTATCTGTATCATTCAGGTAATAAAAGAAGCTTCGGTGATCTTGAAGACGATGAAGATGATATTTTCGGATCAAAAAAGGTAGGCCTTTTCGATTTTTTTTTATATCGCAAGTTCAGTTTTTGCTCACCTGCTTGATCAATGTTGAGATTCAGATTTTGAAATTATCGTTGTTTAGGGTCGAGCTAAAGTGGAGGAAGCTGCACCCGGTGTTGCCACTGGGATGATTTTGTCACTCCGAGAGAGGTTTTTTTTTTTTTATCAAATCCTTTCTTCACGTTTTTGGGTGCAAAGCTTACGAATTTAGTGTAAAATCCTAACCTTATTTTGCTCTTTCTCTTTGGCAGCCTTCAGAATTGTAAAGATGATCTTGCTTCGTGTCAAGTATTGTTACCATTCTCTACTCTAGTTCAGTTTATACTATTGCTCCTGTTTACAATTGCTTCTTTTTTTTTTTGTATCTAACTATATGTTTTTTGGTTAGAATGAGCTTGAATCAGCGAAGACAGAGATTCAGAAGTGGAAATCAGCGTTTCAGAACGAGTCCTTTGTTCCTGCTGGAAAATCTCCTGGTTAGCCTCTCCATACAATGTTGGTTTGCTCATTTGTTTATGTAATGCTGATTGTTGACTATTCAAAATGATTCTGTTTGGTTTCAGAACCTAGATTTCTGATTGACTATATTCAAAACCTAAAGTCGTCGGAGAGATCTTTGAAAGAACAGGTTGGCATTTGAGTAATAGGTTGTGTATTTGTCAATATGAAGGTCTTGATTTTTCAAATATGGGTTGATGGGTTATTTCTCTTTTCAGTTAGAAATTGCAAAAAGAAAAGAAGCTTCATGCATTGTACAATATGCAAAACGAGAACAGGAAATGGCAGAGCTGAAGGTAACTCTCTAGGAACTCATCGTCTAAATGATATCCTCTTTGCCTATCATATGTTTTTTTGAACATAGAATAAATGTTTTCTTGGAATATCTTAGTCAGCTATTCGCGATTTGAAATCTCAACTCAAGCCAGCGTCAATGCAGGTACACTTCTCCACATGTTTTCATTCTGAAATAAGTGATATAATTCTGAAATTTGTTGAAGCAACTTTAACCTCTAGGTATAGTCCTCTTCTTTTGTGGCATAGTGTTCGTTTGAGAATTGTCATCCTCGACCTTCATTCATGTAGAGGAAAATAATCCCTTTGTCCTGTAGTTTCTCTGGTATGAATATTGATGATATAAAATGTTCCTCGTAATCCTATTCCTATCCTGGCGCCTAATTAAGTCTGAGATATAAGAAATGGCTATTATGTCAAATTACATTAGTCATCTAGCAGGTCTAAATGATCAGATAGCATAGTGTACTTGATATATTATTGACTTAACTTTGTAGGCGAGGAGGTTGTTGCTGGATCCAGCAATTCATGAAGAATTTTCACGCCTGAAGGTTTGCACCTACTCCTTTTCTATTTGGCGTTAGACTACTCTATCATAAGAATGTAACTGTGGTAATATATTCTGAGATAATAAACTTGTTGCTACTTAGCTAAATTCTTCTCTTAAAGAAAAGTACATAAAAATTTATAGCCTGGTGTCTTCATTTGGAGATTCCTGGTATTTTTTTTTTTTATTTTTTTTTTTTGTCGACAGGAGATTCCTGGTATAAAAATCAGTTTGTTTGACCTTCTCGTAGGTCGATGTACAGTTGTGGATGAAATCTCCCAAAATTTTTCCTTATATTTAGTTGGAAACTTGCAATGAAGGATGAGTAAATGGAGTTTGACCTGATGTATGTGGTTAATGCAGAATCTAGTTGGGGAAAAAGACAAGAAGATAAAGGAACTCCAGGATAATATTGCAGCAGTTACTTTTACAACTCAGAGCAAGATGGGAACGATGCTTATGGCAAAATGCAGAACCCTACAAGAGGAAAACGAGGAGATTGGTCACCAAGCTGCTGAAGGAAAGGTATAGCTTGTTCTACTCTCAGTCTTCAATCTGGAATTGTTCGGATTATAGACGGCAGTAGTCAGTCGTCTTCCTCTACAGAACATGATTTCCTGAAGTGGGCAAGATAATTGATGTCTCCCTATGTTCCATGTTTTATTACAGATTCATGAGCTAGCGATGAAGCTTACAATGCAGAAGTCTCAAAACACAGAACTTAGAAGTCAATTTGAAGGTAATTCCTATGTTTGATATCAGATTGAGCAAAAGATTCTTTGTACAGATAGAATATGGAATTGAGGTTTTGTGGAAATGTAGGATTGTTCAAACACATGGAGGAATTAACAAACGATGTTGAGAGATCAAACGAAACGGTAATTTATCCTCGTCTTTTATCTCTCAATTCCTGTGAAGAGTTTTCTCAAAACGGAAGAATGATTATGGGAAATGGTGAATTTGATGAATCTGTCAGGTGATAATATTGCAAGAGAAATTGGAAGAGAAAGAGAAGGAGATAGAGAGAGTAAAGAAAGGGATGGAAATTGCGCCTGATGTTGTAGTAGGTGACAAGAAGGATGAAGTTGTTGAAATTGATGAAGAAGATGCAAAAGAAATTGACGGTGGAGAATAGAAATATTAGCTTTATCAAACATATGTTTTTGTACATTTTTGAAATCACATTTCTTCTTCATTTTATATCTTTGAATTTGTTTTTTGTTTCAGTGCTAATCTAAACATTCCAATCTCTGCACAATCATTGATCAGATTCGACCAAAATATGCCCCTTACCATTAATTTTATTTAATTTAGATTTGAGTACTCCAATTAGTTAACTATTACACTTTTTCCCCAAAAGATAAGCAAATCACAATTTTAGGTCAATTAGATGCAGTTGTCACGAACGAATTCAAAATGCGAAGGAGCGGGGAAAACCAAGTGACGTGTAAGCATCTTAGCGAAAGCATCTCTCTCACTATCCATCATCTCCATTCATCAGATCAAATACAATAGGGTTCATCACAAATCCAGAAACCGTCACAGTTCAAATTTTCAAAAAAAAAAAAAAAAAAACTCAAAAATGGAGAAGTACGAGAAGCTAGAGAAGGTCGGAGAAGGAACGTACGGAAAAGTCTATAAAGCGATGGAGAAAGGCACTGGTAAGCTCGTAGCTCTGAAGAAAACTCGTCTCGAAATGGACGAAGAAGGTATCCCACCCACCGCTCTTCGTGAGATCTCGCTTCTCCAGATGTTATCTACATCGATCTATGTTGTTCGATTGCTCTGCGTCGAACACGTTCATCAGCCTTCAACCAAATCCCAATCCCCCAAATCCAATCTCTATCTCGTTTTCGAGTATCTCGACACTGATCTTAAGAAATTCATCGATTCGTATCGGAAGGGACCTAATCCTAAGCCTCTTGAGCCTTTTCTGATTCAGAAGTTGATGTTTCAGCTTTGTAAAGGAGTTGCTCATTGTCATAGCCACGGTGTGCTTCACCGTGATCTTAAACCGCAGAATCTTCTTCTGGTGAAAGATAAAGAGCTTCTTAAGATTGCTGATCTGGGTCTTGGTCGTGCTTTTACTGTTCCTCTTAAGTCGTATACGCATGAGATTGTTACTCTTTGGTATAGAGCTCCTGAAGTTCTTCTTGGATCCACTCACTATTCAACTGGTGTTGACATGTGGTCTGTTGGTTGCATATTTGGTTAGTCTCCATGATGTTTTCGTTTGCTGCTCTTCTGAATTCGCCTCTTTGCGCTGTGATTTTTTCTGTATGTTGGTTTTGACATATTTGAATTTGCATTAGCTGAGATGGTTAGGAGGCAAGCTCTCTTCCCTGGTGATTCTGAGTTTCAGCAATTGCTTCATATCTTCAGGTATTTTGAATTTACCTTCCATGAGTTCTTCTTGTTTTGTCCAGTTGCATTGTGAATTGCATTATTGAAGGATATAGCTAGCTTACCAATTGAAAACAGTTGGTTCTATATAGTTCAGGTTTCATTGATCATAGTTCAATGGGATTTAGTATACTTGAATAGAGAGACTATGATCTTGCTAATGGTTCCTTTTTGGTTCATGGAGGCTGCTAGGAACACCAACCGAGCAGCAATGGCCGGGTGTTTCCACTCTCCGTGACTGGCATGTCTACCCTAAGTGGGAGCCGCAAGACTTAACTCTTGCTGTTCCTTCTCTTTCACCTCAAGGAGTTGATCTTCTCACGGTAATTCACTGCCTAATGACCACAGAGAATGAATTTTGTTGCAAAGCAGCTCTAAGCTTCTCTTCTTCTTATTCCTAAGCTGAAATGCTTTTGTTAATTCTTTCTGATTGAGCTTTATGTTTGAACAAATGCAGAAATTGCTCAAGTACAATCCAGCCGAAAGAATTTCAGCAAAAACAGCTCTTGATCATCCATATTTTGATAGCCTTGACAAGTCTCAGTTCTGAAGCGAAGCACACACAAGTTCTTTGGTGAATCTGTTGTCATCTTCTTGGTGAATTTAAACATTTGTTTTATGTTTGGTTTCCGACACATCAGTGTCTTATGACTGGATTAGAGATCTGTAGTATTGCAGAAGAAACTAGTAAAGCTTGTTTATGGAGTGAATGTAATATACAATGGTCTGGTAGCAATGAGATGATTGCATCATATTGCTTTTGTGTAATCATACAAAATTGATTGCAACATTCTGAAATTGCCACTTTGAGAGTTAACGTGAAACATTACAGTTGAAACAAAGGGTCTTTAATAGAATTGTCAAACCCAAATGTTACGTACAATGGTATTAGTGTACACAATTGGTATTCTGACGCACACACTTGCCCACAAATGGTTTACAACACAACTGGCTGCTCAAAGACACTAAGTTAAAAAGATTGGTCGCTACACACAATTGAAGGAAACCAAATAATACAGTGGTGGTAGTAGTAGCTACCGATGATGACGTGATGTGAAATCAATTAGACCATACATGAACAAGGCCATGTCTGTTTCCTGTGTATATCTCATTGCGTTCCTCGTCATAGAAAAGAGCGGTTATGTCTTCCAAAGCTTCAGCTACCGCATTTCTTTTTTGCTTTGAGTTCTTCCCCGCACAACTGCTACTGCTCTCATCTTCTTTTGGAGGTCCACTGCTTGGTGTTATTTTAGCTAAGCATTTCCCGGTCAATATATTGCTGATATTGATTGATCCCGCTGCACCATCCCATAACACAACATTAATCAATCTCCATATATGATATTTTTGGATTATACCGTTGCATATCTTGATGAGCTTATTCTACTTACCATTTCCTTCTATCCACTGATCTTCGGTATCTGCTTTGCAGTACGAGATGATCAGATCTTGATCACTTGTTATGTAGATATTATTTGTGTTACAGTCCGGATGCCATAGAAGATGGTCCTCAAAGGAAGTCACGAGCTCCCCGCGAAAATTCCATACAGAAACATTTCGATTTCTGAATGTCAGAAACAACTGGTTCTCATACAGAAATATGAATGCAGATGGTGTCATGAACTCAGCTCTACTAACTTCCATTAGCTCAGCATTTCTGACCTGAGTTTTCAAATCAGAAACCAATCTTTATAAATAAAAAACATGTGAAACAAAAGCTAAAAGATTTGATTGAATCAGATAAATCAACTCACGTCAAGAATTTGAAGATTCTCATTCTCTTGTTTAACAAGAAGTTTCTCATTGAATTGTTCAATGAAATCAACTTTCTTGTTTCGGTGAAGCAAATGATTAAAGGACTTGAGAACTGTGCCATCTTCTATTGACAGAATCTTCAGAGGCACATGACTAGCAGCTCTCTTGAAGATCAATAACATTATCCCTGGACTGGTGCAGGGAAGATAATGGGGCAGAACAGTTAGTAAAGTTACCAGTCTTCCAATGCAATCTAGTGGATAGAAAAATAACAAAAGAAGAAGCTTGATATTTGCAAACATAAGATAAAACAACAAAAAGAGTCAGAGGAAAGTTACCTGATTTTAATTTCCTGGACATTTTTATCTGATATCGAGTATAGCATGGTATAGTTTTTCAGATCAAAAACCTTGTACACACTGAATCAAACAGCTATCAGGATCAGAGGATGAAACTTTTAGTCACAAAAATTAGGTGGTTCAGAGCAGAAACTAACCTGTCCTGCGCAGAATAAGTCAGCACCTTTCCATTGACATCATCAAACTCTACAAATCCAGGCCACTTTAATGATTCAGACTCAAAAAGGGCAAACCCTGCATCGGGCTGACCTCTCAGAATATACCTTATAGTTGGGAAATAACCAGAAAAACGCATTAGTTAAAGTATCCCAGAAACACATATGACCCACAAAGGAAGACAACATACTCAATTCTAGTAGATCTGCATTTCAAAGAGCTGAAATTATCTGAAGCATAAACTGAAACTGTGATGAGGGAGTCATTGTTCTTGTTGTAGAACAAGCTCCTGATGACTTCATCTGGACTAACATTCAAAAAGCATATTCTTTTGTTCGTCTCTGCAGTTAAAGTTACGAATCCAAAAGGTAAGTCACACAGAAACACACAGGTGAAAGAGCCAAGTAGTCAAGTAACGCCAATTTACCTCTACTGAAAGCAGCGCAGACGCCAGAATGAGCAAGGGCAAAGACAATGTCTCTTGCAGCGACAATCTCGATAACTTTAGTTCGTTTCATCAAAAATGGTAATGCAACTAAACAATGTCCCTTTGGATCGTGAGTATCATATTGCTCCTGAAAATGGAAATTCAAAAAACAAGAACAGCTTAATTAATAATTAAACAATACCAATTAAGAGAATATGTGTAAATGATGAGCAGCCAAGCACATTTCTAGGGTTTGGGAAGGAGATTCTCAAATCACAAAAAAAAAATTAGGGCAAATCCCAAAGATTGGAAACATACCACGAGACGCATGTTACGAAATCTCTCCTGGGCAGTGCTAATAGAGAAAGCTCGATCCTTACGAGATGAGATTTCTCTACGTTGAAGCTTCTTAACGCTGTTGACGAACCCATCGGGTCGAGACCTCTTTTTAGCCACAATTCTTCTTCCACTACAAGGTCTAGGGCTTGCTGTAATCCTTCTTCCTTCCATCTACTTCCTCCTCCACCTTGAAGCCCCAATATTTTGCAGCAGGTTTCGATTATTTTTTTGGAAACACTAAATGATGAGGAAGAGACGGTAAGAGGAGTTTAGAGGAAACCCTAAGGAGGAGAAGAAGAAGAAGAAGTGAGAGTTGGGTATCTCCAGGGAGGAAGACGAGAAGTGACGGCTACTACATGGGAGTGTGACGTAAGCGAGCTTATTTTTTTGCAGATTCAGATTGGGATTCAAAATCAATGTTTCAAAGCTCTCTTTCTTTCAAAAAATCTCACTTTCGAGCACGAACCAGTCGAACCAATCTTGAATCCATAAATCGAAGAAAATAATTGAAATTATTAAAACGACGCGTTTAAAGGTTGGAGAAGAAAATCGCTTTTATGGGCTATTCAGGCCCAATAACACCTTTAGAAGGACGATCCATTAATTTCACTACTTAAAAAACAATTTCCGTTGAAAAGTTACTATATCTAGTAACTTATTTTGGTTAAAAAAAAAAATATATAGCAAATTTTCTTTTATCATCCATTGATTATGATAATATTATTATTAACTTTTTGGGTGAATACATATTCATGTACCATTTGTTTTACAAGCTACACATTATTGATTTTACAAGTATATTTTTTTTTTTTCATAAAGTTTTGAATCATGTGTAGGCATGTTTGTTTGATAGTAGTCGTAATTGCGACTACAATTTTAATTAAACTGGGGGATGTTTATTCGTTTTTATCCTTAAATGATACCCTTTTTATAAGATTGAATAAACAAATTCAGAACAGAAATGCCAAATAAACAAATACTGTAGTTCCAAGGCAAAATGATCATATAAAATATTGTAGTAAGCGAAGCCACGTTAAACGGGCCAAACAAAAACCCAAAGTCAGTGTCTCGTGTAAACGAAGAAATGGACCCAAGACAAAGACGGAGATGAGAGTATATGTTACGTCGTAATATAAACCGCAATAAAATTAGGCAAAAGCGACGGATAACACATAAAGCATGGTCTCTTATTTAAACGCCATGTGATTGATTTCTACCCGTAACCTCACTTTATTATTTTTATCAATCATCTTTCCTTCTTCCACCTCCAAGCTGAACTCATTAATGCAATTCTTTCTTTTAAACTATACTATACAAATTATGGTCAATCGATTCATACATATTTTTAATGTAAAGTTCAACCAACAACCATTTTTTAAGAGAGCTGTCTGTCTATACAGCGTTCGACGACCTTTCATAATTCATATGTGGGGTGTAAACGGTCTTACCCTGTTTAATTGGCAATAAATGAGGTTGACGATTTTCATGTTTTTTTTGTTGTTAAATAGTTATTTTATGAATTTAAACTGTAATATTATAAAATAAAAAAATAAAAAAATAGAAGCAATTTACATAGAAAAAAAAAAAGATAAATAGGTAGTTTGTTCCCAACTTAAATCTTTATATAATTTCATCAATTTAAGTTTAGCTTTTAAGTAGACCGGAACCTTCGGATTATTACGCTTTTTAAAAAATGCTTTTGAATATAAAAAACTCGTGGCAAAGATACAAATATTCTAATCTATATATCCAAATTTAAATGAAAAAAAACGGATGTGTTATTTATATAAGTCGAGTCATAAAATTTGGTAACATAGGAAAAAAAGGGTATCATTTAAGGAAAAAAAACCTCTGAGAAAAATCAAAAGCGAGAGAAGAAGAAGAGCAACTAGAAACAAAAGCGTAACAGAGAAGACGACTAAGTAATAAAAAAGACGAAGAATGAGTGGTGGTGGTGGTGTTTCAATCAAATCCGATGATAAAAAGGATGAGAAGCCAGCAGCTGCCATGTTACCTCTCAAACCAACCGCTTCTCCTTCTTCCATGGAAACGCAATCCGGCGGCGGTTACGTTAAAACAAACAAACAGCGGCGGAAACGCAACTGCAAAATCTGCGTTTGTTTCAGTATCCTCCTCTTCCTCCTCATCTTCATAGTCATCCTCATCTTAGCTTTCACTCTCTTCAAACCTAAACGCCCCGTCACCACCATCGATTCCATCTCCGTCGACCGTCTCCGAGCTTCCGTCAACCCTCTCCTCCTCAAAGTCCTCTTAAACCTAACCCTCAACGTCGATCTCTCTCTTAAAAACCCTAACCGAGTCGGATTCAGCTACGGCTCCACGTCGGCGCACTTGAATTACAGAGGCCAGCTGATCGGGGAAGCTCCACTCGCGGCCAGCCGAATCGCGCCGCGGAGTACGCACCCTTTGAACTTGACGCTGACGCTCATGGCGGATCGTTTGCTCTCTGAATCGGAGCTTTTGTCTGATGTCATGGCTGGCGTCATCCCGCTCAACACTTTCGTTAAGGTCTCTGGTAAAGTAAGCGTTCTCAAAATCTTCAAGATTAAAGTCCAGTCGTCTTCTTCGTGTGATCTCAACATCTCTGTTTCGGATCGTAATGTCACCAGTCAGCACTGTAAATATTCTACTAAGTTATAAACCAGATCTTCAAACGCCTTGTTTTTAGATCTACTACACTACTTTTGTCTTCTTGTTTTGTTTTTTTTTTGGTATTTTGAATTTGGTACAACACTATGATGTATCTTCTTCTCTCCATGTATGTATTATTTGCTTTTGATCAATAGAGATTTGCTTCTTCTTTTTTCCATTTAAAAATTTGTTGTTGTTGTTGTTGAGATCTCTTAATTGATTCAGCAAAATTAGTAATACGATTAGTCAATGGTGTCAACGTACATGTAGCTAAGTTTTTCAACTCTTTAAAGTTAAATATTGAACAAGTCATCAGATGATTCTTAATTACTAGTATCATACTATAATTTAGGCAGTTTGTAAGGAATTAGTTGGCAGCTCAAACCGCATTTAAAGCACTTTTTCCTTCTTTACTTTAGCTAGATCTATATTTTGTATAAGTGTGGCTTCAAGCTCTCCAATTATACAAAAAAAAAACAATCCACATATATTATATAGTTTGTCATGGCGAGGCGTATGCGTAAATCCAAAGGGTGTGATTGCTGCACAGCTTGGTGTATCATCTTAACCATTCTAATCCTCGTCTTCGTCATTGCATTACTCTTGGTATTGGAGGTATACAAACCGAAAATACCTATAACGCAGATCTGATCAGACATGAGACACCTTACTTGGCATCGTATATACTTGCCGTTTGATGTTCAGCTCGGTTCCACACTAACTAGTCTCCATATTCTGCTCGAGGCTTAAGCATGAGACAGGTGCTTGATCTTCTCTCAGGTACATTGTCCGCTTAAGGTTCTTTGATTCCACCGACTTACTCTTCATATCGATAAGTTTGTTTCAGATATGAGTGACATAATTGCAAGATCTATTTGGAGGAAAGATTGTGTTAGAAACAAAGACAAAAGCTCCCAGGGGAAGTCAAAGCTGTTGTGAATCTTCAAGGCACACACTTTAGTTGCTATATCGGATTGTAAAATCAATATGGACTTCCCTTCTATCAAAGTGTAGAACCAAGAATGTAAAATGAGTGCTAATTTGTAGAACTGAAGTCGTCTTTTTGGTAAACATATAGGGAAAAGGATTGATTTTTATGTCAGCTCCATTGTATATTTCTCATTCTCTCTCGATCCTAAGTTCATTCTGAATCTTAGATTGAAATTTCTCAAAGACTAGAGAAGCTACAAAGATCATTACCAGAAAGAGGGAAAGAACAAAAGCATTCATCTATTAGCTCATTGTCTCAACTCCAAAGAAAACATTTTTACCAATTGAATCTCACAAAACAAGAAAACAAAAAGATCTCATATCTGCATCAACAAGTGTTTTAATGATATTACAGAGCAAAAGTCGAACAATAAAAGAAAGAGAGGTATAAGACCTTAGACAAGCTCAATGTAAGCCATTGGAGCATTATCACCTCTCCTTGGAAGAGTTCTGATGATCCTTGTGTATCCTCCATTCCTCTCACCGTATCTATCAGGAACCTCAGCAAACAGAGCATGAACGATCTGCTTCTCGTAGATAAAACCCAGAGCTTGTCTTCTCTTATGCAACGAACCGTCTTTAGCCAATGTAATCATCTTGTCCACGAACTTCCTCATCGCACTCGCTCTTGCTCGAGTCGTCTTGATTCTCCCATGCTTAAGAAGCTGAGTCGTGAGTCCTCTCAGAAGAGCTTTGCGCTGGTCCGGTGGTCTATTCAGCTTTGGAACACGTCGTCCGTGTCTCATAGCGTAGACACGACCACCACCGTCGACAATTTTGAATCCATTCTCAAAGCTCTGCCAATCTGCGTTCGAATTCGAATAAGGAACCCTAAAGATTCAACTGAGCCAAAATTGAATACGAGTATGTCTCCTATGGGAGTTGAAATGTTTACCAGGAAGTCCAATTGAGAGAAGAGGGTTGACCGGAGAGAGGCCGGAGAAGGACGGGAGTGAGGGAGAAGAGATGGGGAGGCGGAGGGTGACCGGACGGCGAGAAGACGAAGAAGGTAGCCGGAATGATGAAGGAGACGGAAGAGCTGATTTGAGAGAAGACATGCTCCAAACTCTGCTCACGGAGTCTGTAGGTGTCGTCGCCATTGCCATGGACACTGGAATCGCCATTAGAGTGTGATTCTCTGCAACAATGACGATTTTTGCTGGAGTCGAATGGATAAGGAGGGGTAGAGAAGAGAAGCTGTTTATCAGAAACATTTTCGTGGGCCGTAATGGGCCTTAAAATGGTAACTCTTATTCAATGTAGCAACTCGATATTAGCGTTTTGCCAACAAGGGGCTTTTTTGCATTTGGTCTAGGACTTGAGATTGGAACTTCTTTGGGCTATGTAAATGTTATAATTATATTTATATGCTAATTGCTAAAAACATATTACATAATGTCTTCTCAAGACCAACATTATTGGTAAAATCTTAAATCTAGTGTAATTCTTACACTTAAGAATTAAGATTATCTTTAATGTTGTTTTGAGCTCCCAATCCTGAGAAAATCTTTTTGTTACTTTAAGGTTTAAATCAAGAGCTTAACTTTCTTTCATAATCTATGTTTTTGGTTTTCTCTTTAAAACATTTTTTTGTAAAAAAGTGAATATCATGTAAAAGGAATTTTGGTCTGAGTAACTTTTATATTCATTAAAAAAGAAAAACATAGAAATAATTTATACAAGTGTAAAGAGATCCTCTTGTTTTTTAATATCATTTAAATAAATATAAAGAGAATACATATAACAAATTTTTTTTTCTCTGGTATAAAAATACAATGATGTTTGTAAAGACTTCTCAAGAATGATCATGGACAAATACGGTTGTATTACTCTATTAGTATAAAGAGGAACCACCAAATTAGGCAATTGGCCTAATTACACAGTAGAAAAGGGTAGAAAAGACATTTTAGGATATGAACTTGGAGAAAGACAATCAGCTTTTTACGCTGAGATGCTTTAATATTGAGCCGTGTGTTTGTGTTTTGTGTAGATAGGAGAAAGACAATCAACCTTTCGTTTAGGTTGCAAATTTTCTGTTTTGTATCTTTTTATCTTTAGACTCTCTTTCATAGGGCTTAATGACTCTGGGGACATATTCATCGTCCGCCGGCTTATGTTTCCCTCTTTTGGGCGTTGTATTTCACCTTTGATTCCACCACAAGGATTAATAAAATTTCAGACGACAAAAAAAAAAAAAAAAAAAAGGTAAGAGAAAAGAGCGTGGAGGATGGTTTCGTCGTCGTCTAGGGTTCACTGCCCATGCTATTATTATAATGTGGCCATGGGGGCTAGTGTTTGACGTACAAAAGTCTAAAAATTGTCAGTCAAACAGGTCCAAAACCTTTTGTTATATATTAATAATATATTATACTACTATAGTTAGTGTTTTAAAAAAAAAGAAATTAAAAAAAAGGTTAAAAAAAGGACAAAAGGGAAAAGAAGAGGAAGCAGATGAAAGCAAAATGTCAAACACTAGTTTCAGATTTTGTATTGGGAACTGGGGTTTGACAGTTTTGTGTGTGTAATGTATGGCCCTCTCATCAATACATGTGCTCTCTCTCTCTATTTCCTTTTCTTTCTTTTTCGTCTTTGTTATTTACTGTTTTAGTTCTATGTCTTGTCCAATTCCTCTTATGTAAAATGCCTTTTCTTTTTCTTTCTTTTTTTTATACTACTTATGACTTGGCTTTTTTTCTTCGTTTTTATTTTCAAATCTCTCTATTTCCTCTAAATACAATATATACTCTTCTCATCTCTTTCTATTAGGACTGTTTAAGGAAAACCCTCTTTCTAATTTTAGCACCAAATAGCAAGTTCCGCTATAATAGAATTGTCCACCACTGCCCCCATCTTACTATCTTAGTAAGCATAAAAAAGTCTTTCGATTGGGTACGGCTAGATTTTTCTTCATCCCCATCTGGCCATCTCATACCAAACCTACATTACTAGTGGTGCTGCAATGCAACCGACTCCAAATACAATAACTTGGTTTATGATGAATCCAAAGTCATGTAACTCTATTGAAACCCATTACATTTCACTTAACGAACGAATAATCCGAAAGTTTTACTTTCATACTTTTACGGTTTTACCATACAAATATGATGCATTTATCAAAGTGGAAAGGCTCTATTTTTCAGACCTCAATAATGTCTTTTCCATCTGCTTTCATTTGCATCCTCATCTCTTTGGATCTCTTCTTTTCCTCTTATAAAAAACAACTATATATATATATATATATATGTGCTTATCGAAGAAATCAACTTTGAAGGTATGAAACCGGATTCTAATTTCTACATAATGTATAAGTCAGGTGTGTTTAGTTTAGTATTAGTTTATAAAAGTTTAAGTATCAGTATTTAAAAGACGAATTGTGATTCTTTTTACGGATTTCGTATATATCTGCATTTAAATGTTTTACTAGTGGTCGGTTTCGAACACTAGTCCGCTTGGTAGAAAGAAACGGCTTAGAGATACGATTCCTGTGGACACTAATTTCTTACGGGACAAGGAGGACGAACCGTGGAACCTCATTGGTTGGTCATCCCCTTCATTTGTGTATTGAAATTTATTGGGTTCCCATACTTACTCCACTGCAATTGTTTTGTTGTATTGCTAACAAGAAAATTACTTCCACATAATGCGAATATTCCGTTACATGTATATAAGATATAATTTTCGTTTAATATTAATAGTAATAAAGTATATAGATATCGCCAACCAGTTCCACGAAATTCAGCTCTATTATTTATATAGCAAACAAAATGTTATCTTCTTGTGGTTAGTTTGAGAGAGAGAGAGGCCGAGTAGAAAACGAGAGATGGATCGGCAAAAGCAAGACGTCAAACACGCAACGACGAACATTTCCGATCACGCACCTAATCTCTTCCCAATTTTAATTATAATTTTCCAACTCTCTCTCTCTCTCAATGAATTAACCCCTCCTCACCCAATAAAATAAAAGACAGAGACAGAGACAGAGAGAGCTGAAGAGAGAGAGAGAGAGAGAAGAGTTAACATGAATAGAGATAGAAAGAGTCATTAAATGTACGAAGCGACATTCACAATAATTCGAAAGGTGGAAGACGAGTTACATACGGCCAGGCCCTTCACTTCTCCTCACTGTCCTCCTCGTCCACCTCAACTCAATACCCCTTTTCCCGGGATTCATCTCCAACCCACTTAGTTCCAAATTCTCACCCTAAAAAAAAAAACTAACTTCCTTTTTTCTTTGCTTTTCTCATCGGAGATCGTGAGGAAGACGAAGTAAATTAAGAATCCCCATAGATAATCAAAAAAGCTACTACCTTTTCTATCTTCTGTTTGGAAATTTTCGACTTTGGATTTTGCCTTTTTTTATTTTTTTAAAATTTCTTCTCCCTATTTATAACCATGCAATCCCACGACCAACCCCTCCATCTCCATGGCGGATTCCGGCGATTTCAACGGTGCTCAACCTCCTCTTAGTCCCTTGCGACCCACTTCTTCCGGTAGTAGTAGTAGCAACAACCGTACCGCTCCTCCTCCTCCTCCTCTAGTTATGGTGAGAAAACGATTAGCCTCCGAGATGTCTTCTAATCCTGACTACAACCCCTCCTCTCGCCCTCCTCGCCGTGCCTCTCACCTCCTCGACCCCAACTACAATTCTGTTTCTCCACAACAACCTCCGTCTCTTACGGCGGCGACCTCTGTTGCTTCCCAGCCAAACCCACCACTCTCTGTCTGTGGCTTCTCCGGTCTTCCGGTTTTCCCTTCGGACCGTGGTCGGAATGCTATGTCCGTACAGTCAATGGAACAAGACTCTTCATCTTCTTCTGCTTCACCTACGGTCTGGGTTGACGCCATTATCCGAGACCTTATCCACTCCTCTACTTCAGTCTCAATTCCTCAACTTATCCAAAACGTTAGAGACATTATCTTCCCTTGTAACCCAAATTTAGGAGCTCTTCTTGAATACAGACTCCGATCTCTCATGCTTCTTGATCCTTCCTCCTCCTCCGACCCTTCTCCTCAATCTTTTGAACCTCTCTATCAGATCTCAAACAACCCTTCTCCTCCTGTAACTCAGCAGCAACAACAACAACAGCAGCAGCAGCAACATCAACAACAGCAACAACAACAACATAAGCCTCCAACTCCACCTCCGATTCAGCAACAAGAAAGAGAAAATTCTTCCACTGATGCACCGCCACAACCAGAGACGGCGACCACCACCCCGGCCACCGTCACGAACACGGCGGAGGCGTTGAGAGAGAGGAAAGAAGAGATTAAGAGACAGAAGCAAGATGAAGAAGGTTTACACCTTCTCACATTGCTGCTACAGTGCGCAGAAGCTGTCTCTGCGGACAATCTCGAAGAAGCAAACAAGCTTCTTCTCGAGATCTCTCAATTATCAACTCCTTACGGAACCTCGGCGCAGAGAGTAGCTGCTTACTTCTCGGAAGCTATGTCAGCGAGACTACTCAACTCGTGTCTCGGGATTTACGCGGCTTTGCCTTCCCGGTGGATGCCTCAAACGCATAGCTTGAAGATGGTCTCTGCGTTTCAGGTGTTTAATGGGATAAGCCCTTTAGTGAAATTCTCACACTTTACAGCGAATCAGGCGATTCAAGAAGCGTTTGAGAAAGAAGATAGTGTACACATCATTGATTTAGACATCATGCAGGGACTTCAATGGCCTGGTTTATTCCACATTCTGGCTTCTAGACCCGGAGGACCTCCTCACGTGCGTCTCACGGGACTTGGTACTTCCATGGAAGCTCTTCAGGCTACTGGGAAACGTCTTTCAGATTTCGCCGATAAGCTTGGCTTGCCTTTTGAGTTCTGCCCTTTAGCTGAGAAAGTTGGGAACTTGGACACTGAGAGACTTAATGTGAGGAAAAGAGAAGCTGTTGCTGTTCACTGGCTTCAACATTCTCTTTATGATGTTACTGGCTCTGATGCACACACCCTCTGGTTACTCCAAAGGTAATAAAACACTACCTTTTCACTCACTCTTTGACTATATAAATATTGTTTAGATTATTGGAGGGGGATGTTCTAAAAAGTGGCTTTTTTTATTGTTTATGATTGGGAATAAACAGATTAGCTCCTAAAGTTGTGACAGTAGTGGAACAAGACCTGAGCCACGCTGGTTCCTTCTTAGGAAGATTTGTGGAGGCAATACATTACTACTCTG